CTTGCAGCCACCGCCTTGTTCAAAAGGGCCCCTGCTAAGGCGATCGCCTCCATTTGGGAAAAGCACAACCCCCTTAGGAGCTCAACCTCAGTGAAACTGGCCATCGAGTGCACGACTGCGTCTTCCACTACTCCCAAGAGACGATCTGCAGCTGTCCTGGCTGGGCCTCCTTCTTCCTCCAGTCGCCCAGACACTGTTGGAGCGTGGTAGATGGTAGTCTTCAACTTGACCCCCTATCTCTCTCCTTGGGGCGCAAGACCCCCTTTTGGCTGCTGTTTTGCCCCCTCCTCAGGGCCAACCGACCTGCTTTCCACTTGCATCTCGGGGCCCATGGCACTCATGTGTTCCTTTTCCACTTGGGCCCCTTGACTTTCGTCCCCTTGTGCTTCTGGGACAACCACCCCCTCTGGAGTAACCTCCACCCCCATTTCCCTGCCTTCTCCGCCATGGGATTATCCTCATTACCAACCATCATCTTCTTCAAAGCGACCGCATCTTGTACCCCCCCAGTGGCGACTCTTTTTTTCTTCAACTTCCTCAGCCCTGCTTCCACCTCTCGTCTGCCCTTCTCCTTCAGTGGGTCTACGGGTTGTGGCAAGGGGGCAAACTCAGTCAGGTTCTTGTCCCCTAAAGGTTTAAGACGAGGTCAGATCCTCTCATTCAGCACCAACTTCGAAGCAGGCCCCAGTTGTGTCTCCTTATATTTGTTCGCTCGAGCGAACAATCTCATTTCCTCCTCCCCCTCCGCTTTCCATTGCCTCTCTAACTCCTCCCTTGCCGGATCCTCCCCAACGGTTGCGGCCCCAAGTTCAGGGCAAACAACGTTGATGGAAGGACTAGCTCGTCCCACCTTACTCCCTTCTCCTTCCTTCATTCCCTCACCTTCTTCACTTAGTCTTCGGCCGCCCCGTCCAACTTGGGCTCGACCGATTTGGTGGGGACCTTCCACGTTGTCTGAACTCTCTTTCCACCGCTCGCAGACACCAAAAACCATCTCGGGGCCCGTTTGTTTTGGGGTTAAGTAGATGGGAGGGGATTAGGATGGTGGACGTGTTATTTAGTGTTGTGTTTGTTTGTAGAGTTGGGGAGGGGATTAGGATGGTGGAGGTGATATAGATGGAGGTTGGGGAGGGGATTGAGATGGAGGTTGGGGAGATGGTATTAGAAAAATAGTAAGGGGATTAGAAATTTTTTTATTTTTTATATATTGGGAATTTTTTTATAAATATTAATGTTTAATTTTTTATATTTTTTTATTTGTTTTATTATTTTATATAAAAATAATTTAACAATTCCTACACTAACAACTATCATCAAAACAAACACAATTTTATTTAATCCCCTCACTATCAATCCCCTTACTAACAATCCCCATCACTATTAATCTTCTCACTCTAAATCCCCTCTATTCTACCTCTTAAAACAAACGGGGCCTCGGCCTCCATCCCTTCATCGAAGATGGAAGACCCGCCACCAGACCTCGCCCCGCCACCGCTTGCAGAGTCACCCAGGTCTCCTGCTGACCAGAGGCCTTGTAGCAGGAGAAAAACTCCTTTACTGTCATTGTCGTTCCTCCAATTACTTGCTGCTAGCAACTCGCACACGCCATCAGTATTTTCCAGGCGTTCAGCATCAACTGCCCTGGCGCCACTTCCGGCTTGTTCAGCACGTCCACCACAACCTGAGGGAGGGGTAGCCTCAACCCTCATCGCAATACTTCTTCGTAGAGGTTGAATTCGTCTGGCCGCACATTTGACGCCCTCTCCTTGGATGTGGGCAACCTCAGCGTTACCTCCGCGAGAATTTGGTACTTCCTCCTTATTCTCTCCAACTCCTCGGCAATAAGTACGGATCTATCCGGTTTGGTGTGCCAGTGGTCCGGCTCCACCTGATTGATAGGTCTAGCGGCTGCAATCAATGTTCTGGGACAAGCCCGTACCGCCTGACTCGCTACCTCCCCCTCTCTTCTCTTCGTACGATATTGTTATGCCAAATCCACCGCATCATCGTCGCCTAACGGATCAACCCTTGCGGTTGCTACTTCCTCTTGAGCCATTTCTCTTGTGTGTCTACGAATAGCTTCGGACGCGGGCACAAAAAAGTTCACAAAATGTTGCAGAGGTGTGTCACTGGAAACAAACAAGTTTACTTCTGGAACGTTTTGGTTTTTTTAGAAAAGATAGGTGAAACGGATAATACCAAAAGCCCAAGGTTTGCCTATATTCCAAGGGTCACAATTAATTTTCGCCAGTGTGAAAATTTTCAAAAATCTGCCAAAACTGTCTTTTCAACACCCTATATTCACCTATCGCTTCATTTCTTGCTCAACGCTTAACCTTTCCCATCACGGGATTCCGCCACGTGTACGACCACGATCCATTGCCCCTTTCCCCTTTCCTGTCTATTCCACTTCACTTCACCACGTGCCCCGCCGCACCTCGAGCCCACGCACCACCACTCCCCCTTCGCAGTCGACCCTCCTCATGGTCGGTTCCACCACTCGGTACCCTTTGCAGTCGGCCCTCCTCATGGTCAATTCCACCATTCGGTACCCTTTGCAGTCAGCCCTCCTCATGGTTGGTTCCACCACTTGGTACGCTTCGCGGTCGGCCCTCCTCATGGTCGGTCCCACCACTCAGTCACCCTTCGCGGTCGGCCCCCCTCATGGTCGATCTCTCCTCTCGGTCATCCTTCATAACCGACCTTCCTCACAGTCGGTCCCTCCCGGCCCTCCTCATGGTCAATTCTACCATTCGGTACCCTTTGTAGCCAGCCCTCCTCATGGTCGGTTCCACCACTTGGTACGCTTCGCGGTCGGCCCTCCTCATGGTCGGTCCCACCACTCAGTCACCCTTCGCGGTGAGCCCTTCCCATGGTCGGTCCCGCCACTTGGTCACCCTTCGCGGTCGACCCTCCTCATGGTCGGTCCCGCCACTCGGTCACCCTTCGCGATCGGCCCTCCTCATGGTCGATCCCTCCACTCGGTCATCCTCCATGACCGGCCTTCCTCGCAGTCGACCCCTCCACTCGGTCGACCTTCGCCTCGATAGTCTCTCATAACCGTCGTTTCCTTCATTATTCCCTTCGTTGGACTAAAGCTGTACTCGGGAATGGGGGACTACAGACACGGGTAAGCCCACAAAGGATACAGCCCACCGTTTAGGGGCCAATACATAACTCAAATATTAAGGCTCAACGCTGCTGGAGCTCAACATGGCATTAAAAACCAATAGCACCTAAACACGTGGTAAGAGAAGGAAAAGCCACATAAGCAGACAAAGATCCTGCAAAGTTATTGCACTGCACATCAGCCATTAATGAAGGCCCTTACAGCATTTATTGCGATAAGCCCTCCCGTCGAGATAGAACGGCCCCACCATGAACAAGGCAAGCTAGAATATAGGCTTTCGGCCATGACGACAGGTCGGAAGGGACAATAAAATGATTACCATAGGATATAAGTAGAGGTCGAAGACAAGAAAAATGTTAAGCTCTCTATCTCTAGTCTATCTCTACATTTCATCTCTCTTTCTAACTTGCTCGTCGGAGGGTTCGCTGGGGGACTCCCCGTTCCCCGTTGAACTCTTGTGCAGGTTCCACTGTAGACTGGATACCTCAGACTCTGGTTTGGAAAACGTGGATCAATCTGACCAGTTCTATATGAAACACGCTGCATTATCAAAACTAAACTAATTAGCCAACTAACAAAATCTTCTCCAATATGTGGGACAGCAATTCCATGTGAACCGAATATATATATATATATATATATATATTTAAAAGAATTTGACTATGGACTGGATACCTCAGACTCTGGTTTGGAAAACGTGGATCAATCTAACCAGTTCTATATGAAACACGCTGCATTATCAAAACTAAACTAATTAGCCAACTAACAAAATCTTCTCCAATATGTGGGACAGCAATTCCATGTGAACCGAATATATATATATATATATATATATATAAAAGAATTTGAATAAAAACTGATTTATATTTTTATAAAAAATAGTAAAAAAAAATTTGGGACTTATTTTAGCTTTTTTATTTTTTTTACTTTTTAGATTCGTTATGCACAAGGATCGGAAAAATAAAAATTTTAATGTAATTTTAAAAGAAAGTCACTAAAGATTAAAAAAAAAAAAAAAAGGCAGCTTAATTAACCAATAAACTGACCTCCAAATAGACAAAATTATTTAGTTGAAGAAATCAAACCTTGTCCGAATTAGGAAACAGAGAGAGTTCCATTCCTTGGCACTTCCAAATCCTATATAACATTCAGTGTATCTAGTTTGAGTTTTCTGAATAATGTTTTTTAAAAATTACGTTGTTTGTTTTTTATATTTTTTATATTTTTAGTGAATATTTTTAAAATTTCAAGCATTTTTTATATTTTTTTAGATGCATCTTACTTAGATATATCTAAAAAGTAAAATATTTGTGAAAAATTAATAAATACATAAAAATATGAAAAATATATTGATTTTCATTTTTTTTTTGTATTTTTGGCATAGTCATTTTTTTAAAAAAAAAAATCACAAAAATTGTACTTTTTAAGTGTATTACCTTAGGTGTGTCTAAAAAAATTTAAAAAAAATATTTAAAATATTAAAAAAAAATTCAGTAAAAACAAAAAAATGTGAAAAATAATGTGAAAAATAAGGAAGTAAAATTTTTTAAAAAGTGTTTTCAAAAAATTAAAACCAAAGGAAGTATCTTTCAAAGCCAGACTACCCCCAGTTTGAATTGAGTACATTAACAGCAATGCTAGGTATCATGAAAATTTTGTCATGAAAATAATCATGAAAGTTTTGTGACCCTTGGATTACACTTAGAATAAAGCAACACATACTAATCAAGGTAATCCAAAGATCATAATTTTTTCATAATCATTTTCATGACAAAATTTTCATGATCCCTAACTTTTCTCATACATTAAAGCCATGCAAACATGGTTTAGCAAATCCATTCCTATCCGAATTGGAAAACAGAGTGAGAGAGAGACAGAGTTCCTTAAAACTTCAAATTCCTAAACCCATTATCATTCACTATATAAACAACCCCAACCATCCGTGTCTACAAAACTATCTACTAAATCCACTCGTTTTTCTGTCTACTTTTTCTCTGTTACTGCATAATCACATATCTACTACGCCTTTTTCTTGATCTTGATCTTCTTCTTCTTCTTCAATCAAGCAATGGCTGCTACTCTTATCACTCCTGTTGGTGACGATTCCCTGAAAGATTATCCCGGAAAACTTACTTGGTATGTCTTCGTAACTTGCATAGTGGCCGCTATGGGTGGCCTGATTTTTGGCTACGACATCGGTATCTCTGGTAAGCCCTTCAAATTAATAAATCTTCAATTCTTTGAATTGCAGTTGTGCTACTTTTGAAAAATCAATCTTTGTCTATTCATATATATATGTATATACTCTGTTTCTGATTGTGCGATTAATTTGAATATATGATATTGATTAATAAAGGTAATGTTATGATGATTAGGTGGGGTGACATCAATGGCTCCGTTTCTTGAAAAGTTTTTCCCGTCTGTGTATCGGAAGGAAGAGCTCGATCACTCAACCAATCGGTACTGCAAGTTCGACAGCCAAACGCTGACCATGTTTACGTCGTCCCTGTATTTGGCTGCTCTTTTTGCGTCCTTCTTCGCCTCGGCAATGACCAAGAAACTGGGCCGCAAGTTTTCCATGCTTATGGGCGGTTGCGTCTTCTGTTGCGGTGCTCTTCTCAACGCCTTCGCTGTACACCTCGCTATGCTCATCATCGGTCGAATTTTGTTAGGTATTGGTGTTGGTTTCGCCACTCAGGTAATTCATTCGTTCATTCATAAAAAACGAAAGCTCATTCTTTCTTTGCTCCAATATTAATATTATTACAGTCAGTCACACTTTGAACATAACATAATAGTGTTTGTATTTATAAAATTCATTCTAAATTATAATTTCAGCCACATCCTCTCTAACTAATTCTTTGTTTCAAATTCCATTACATTACAGTCAGTGCCACTGTTCGTATCGGAGATGGCTCCACACAGATACCGCGGAACCCTCAACGTCTGCTTCCAACTATTCATCACAATCGGCATTCTGATTGCCGGTCTGATCAACTACTTCACCAACATGATCAAGGGCGACTTGGGCTGGCGCATCAGCTTGGGCGGCGCCGCTGTTCCAGCCGTCCTAATGATCTTGTCATCTCTCTGGGTCTCCGAAACCCCAAACTCCCTCATTGAGAGAGGCCACTTCGACAAAGCCAAGAAGCAGCTCCAGCGCATCCGCGGAGTCGCCGACGTCCAAGCCGAGTTCAACGATCTGGTGGATGCCAGTGCAGCCTCAAAGCAAGTGGAACACCCATGGAGGAACCTATCCATGAGGAAGTACAGACCTCAGCTTTGTTTGGCTATTTTGATTCCCATGTTTCAGCAACTCACTGGGATCAATGTGGTTATGTTCTACGCTCCTGTGCTGTTCAAGACCATTGGGTTTCAAAGCAACGCTTCGCTTGCATCGGCCATGATCACCGGTGGTGTCAATGTTCTTGCCACATTTATCTCTGTTTTTGGGACTGATATGTAACAACCCTCACCTTACTCTTGCCATACTTGCATGCCCTCTTGCATGGTCTTGCTGCTTATGTTAATTTAAAGGTTTTATCTTGGCTTGATTTGCTTAAGTTGCTTGCACGATTTTGTTCCTTGCTTAGTGCGTGTGCGTGTGCGTAGCCGAGATCATCTTGAGCTTAGTCCGCCTTTGACCCTTGTACTTAGAACCATCTTGAGGTCTTGTTCAACCCCATTTTCACCTCGGGCATTCTTTGCCGAGATGTTCCGCACTTGAACCTTGTCCGCAGGCAGGTATGGCCTAGGCCGAGATGTGGCGCACCCCGGCCAAGGTGTGGCACAGCTTAGTCAAGTGTCGTCCTCCCGAGCCGATGTTTTGTTATCCTGTTGCTGGATCCTTGTTTTGAGCCGATGTCATCTCCTTGCCGATGTGTCTTACCCGAGCTTGCTGCATACACTTTGTCAGAGACTTGTCTTGTCCATCAATCACCTTTTTGGAGCTGAACCAACCCGATAATGCCACGTGTCCGAGCTGTTTGTTAAGGCAGCCGACAGACCTTGAAACAAATCATTTCTTGTCTCAAATCTTTGTTTTAGAGAGAGAAGCTCTAGAAAGGAGGAAGAAGAGTTCTTGAGTGAGAGTCATCTTCCAAGCTTGATCTTTGTGGCTTGAACCGTTAGATCCGAGTTTTGAGGTTAGAATCTTGATCTCCTTTGATTGTTCTTTGGAGGATAACTTCCTCAAGAAAATAGTCACTTGATATTGCTTTGAGTCTACACCTGAAGAACTAGGTGAGTGGTATTTCAAATAAAGCTATGTTACACTTGTTCTTGATAAATCTTGTTTTGTTTGTTTTGACGTGGTATTTGCTAAGCATGAATAAATGGCCTTGTTGATTGTTAACCTCGGAAAGTCCCTTGTGCTGGAGGACTCTAAACTTCGCAGTACCAAGTGTAAAAGGATACGGTCCTTGTTAAAAACGGGCTACGGCCTAAGTAACACAAGTCCTTGTGCTGGAGGACTCTAAACTTCGCAGTACCAAGTGTAAAGCGATACGGTCCTTGTTAAAACGGGCTACGGGCCTAAGTAACACAAGTCCCTTGTATTGGAGGACTCTAAACTTTCGCAATACTTTTGACCAACGATTACGGATCGTACAGCTTTGATACTTGAATGATGAAGATACGGTTCATCCCTTGCTTCGCCGATGTTACGATACTTGACTGATGAATACGGTTCATCCCTTGCTTCGCCGATGTTATGATACTTGACTGCATGAATACGGTCATCCTTGCTTCGCCGATGTTATGATACTTGACTGATGAATACGGTTCATCCCTTGCTTCGCCGATGTTATGATACTTGACTGATGAACGGTTTCATCTCTTGCTTCGCCGATGTTATGATATTGAGCTGATGAATACGGTTCATCCCTCGCTTCGCCGATGTATGATACTTGAATGATGAATACGGTTCATCCTCGTTTTGCCTATCAGTAAACACTTTGGATACTTGTAACGTTTGATTGATGAAATACGGTTCACTCCTTGCTTTGCTAAAGTTTTGGTGTGTTTCGTTTTGAAGGACCTCGGCTATATCATGCAAAACCTTTATTTTTAGTACCATTCACTGAGTTTTGTACACACCCCTCTATATATATGTAGGTGATGAGCAGGACGGCGGCGACGCCTAGATCGTTGGATGCTGTTTTTGATTTGTACTTATGTCGGCTTGCTTTTGCATTTACGTCGGCGATGCCTACCTTGCATGTCGGCAATCTTGAAAATCATGCTTCTTGACTTGATTAGCTGTATTTTGATATGTCGGCTCGAGAAGCCTTTGATCAAGATAACATGTATCTTTTTACCTTGTTGTATTTAAGTTGTAAAGTTAATTGGAATGTTTGGCATTGCTTTGATCTACGCACAGCTCTTATGGACCACTTGCATTGATTTATTGCTTCCGCATTTGTGAGCCCCCTATATTCATACTCTGATTGTGTTAAGTTTTGAAAAGTTGGCCTTCGTAATGACGGATTACTGGCCATCACGGCACCAAACTACTAGCGGTTTGGGGTCGTGACATGATAGGTGGGGAGGAAACCCCTGCTTCTATGGGGAGGGGCATCATGCTTGTGGTTCCAGGTAATCTTAGTAACCATTTCTTTTTCTCCATCCTCTTTGGCGGTGTTTGGGAGTTCGTGTTTTGTTTTTTTTTATTTTTTTTCACTAAAAGACAAATTGGTTACAAAATATAAAAAAAAAAAACAATCCAAACAAAATATCAACATCAAACCTCATAATCATTTCATTTTTCTCCTCAACAAACATCACATCCAACCACAAAAAAACCCAACCATCTTTCCAACACAAAAAAAAAAAAAAAAAATTCAAATAATATCCTACAATTCAAAAAACCTACAAACACCTACTTCCCAAAGACCTACAATTCAAAAAACCTACAAAACACCTACTTCCCAATTTTCCCAAAGACCCACTCTGCATATTTATGTATTGTATTTGCACTATTTCAATACATGTTACATTATTTACTTATATTATATATATATATATATTATTGTGTATTTGTTATTTAATATGCAAGTGCAGTGGCAGTTCTTATTGGCGCTAAATTTGGAATAACAGGAGATGCTACCAATTTGGGAATCCTATATCCAAGCATCCTAGTATGTTGCATTTGTGTTTTCGTCACAGGTTTTGCATTCTCATGGGGTCCTTTGGGATGGTTGGTGCCTAGCGAAATCTTCCCTCTCGAGATTCGGTCATCCGCGCAGAGTATTGTCGTGGCTGGCTGGCTGTGAATATGTCATTCACTTTTCTCGTTGCCCAAGTCTTCCTTGCTGCTCTTTGCAGGGTCAAAGTTCGGCCTATTCATCATCTTTGCCGGTTTTAGTTCTAACCATGAGCCTTTCGTCATCTTCTTCGTTGCCGGAGACCACAATATACCCATCGAAGAAATGTCACAAGTTTTGGAGAGGGCACTGGTACTGGAAAAAATTTGTTGGAAATCGAGATGTTAGAATGGAATGCCTTAGAAAGATATACATAGTTAGTTTCGCATGTCTTTATTTGTAATTTTTTTCTGATTTTAGTTATTTATTTATTATTATTAATACTTTTAAGTTGTTCAACTAATAAACAAGGTTGTTAAGATTTCTTTTTATATAAATTTTAAGAAAATGGGGAAGACCCAGCCCACTGATTGGCCTAAAATTTATTTTATTTTATTTTCTTTCGAGCAACAGATTTTCTATGAGTTTTTTTTTTTCTAAAGTTTCGTAGAGTGGTGCATTATATGGTTGAGATTTAATGATAAGTCCACATCAATTTTCAACATTAAAATTTCAATCACACAATACACTACTTAAAAAAACTTTTAAAAAAAAACACTCTAAAAAATCCTAATATTTTCTTTCATCATCTCTTGGACCCACGTGTATGGGGTGTTGGGGTCCACCCTCAACGGGGTAATGCGCATGATTGTAAATCAACCTTGCTACGCACCCCCACTGGGGTGTCGACCCCCAGTGACGTGGGCTTCCCCCATTGGCCAGTTTTTTCTTTTTTTTTTTTTTTTTTTCTTTCCTTCCAATCCCGCAGTGCCACGTGGCATTGGGGGGTCACTGGGGGTGGCTTTTTACTGGGGGTCTCGCGCATTCGTTGTAATTTTTATTAGTTTTATACGTTTATTTATGCTTGTGTTTGAAGCGTGTTTAAGGTTTACATATTTTCAAGTATTTCTCTTGTTTTTATTTTGTTTTATTTTTTGCTTCCCTTTGTGAGCAAGGTTGCATTTGGTTGGGCAACAATACTACAATCTCAAGTTTAATTATTCATAATTTATTTAAATTATCAACTTGTAATTTAAATTTATTATATCTCACATTATACAAATTTATCTTTATCACAATACCTACC